ATTTAATGCTTTTTTTGTAAAAATTTACATATAAAATTTAGTGTGTTAACTCATTTGATTTATAAGTAACTGCAATGAAAACCCCTGTTAAAGGACATGTCCCTTGACTGATAAGACCGTACGGAAAACCTTAACCTTAATGCTGGCTAAATTTATTCTGGCCGACATTAATATCAAAGCCAGCCTGCTTTATTACTATGATATTTTGTAACTTACGCAAGGTCATGTAAGTTATTACAACCCTAAACGTGGCCCAGATTTATGTTCTAACGGGCCCAGATTTATGGTACAGATCTATTATCTAGCGCGCCCAGATATATATTTTAAGCGTGGCCCAGAATCTGTTGAAAATTCCTTTGATGTTTTTAGGGTTGTAATAACTTACCTAACAACGTAACTTACCTTTTAAGTTACATGACCTTATGTAAGTTACAAAATTATAATAAATTTGATAGTCTGATTCGAATGATATTCTGTTGTACTCATAACTCTTTATATATCGTTCCCAATGTTACATTATCGTTATGTATGATTTGACCAAAATTTTGAAATATAACGATAAGTAATCATTTTGTATGCTTTATGATAAAAAATTTTTTATTTAATACCTTTTATCAACAATTTTACATACGTACGCAAAATGAATTTAATAAATTGCTATAATGTAATTATTCACCTTAACTTAGCTTTTGCTTATTTGCTATCTATTAAATACTAATTCTATTTATCATTAAAATTTGAAAGACGCCAGAATGTGATGAGTTGAAAATAGCTTTAACTAACGGTAATATCCTATATAATACGGACAGTAATGAAAATATATTCCCTATTTTTAAGAAAGATCTCACGGATATTATTAATTATTGGGTGAATTCATATCCAAAAATAAAAGAGACTTTATTTGATTGGAAAAACATGACTATTGACGGTGAATATGACCTTTTTAAACCTATACGTTCCTGTAACGAAACAATATTTGAAGACGAGACGGTGATAAATATTCGTTTGGGAATATACCCAACATCAAGCCCAGAAAAGATTAGATGTACTGAAGTTTATACTAAATATGAGTTTAAAGTACATTATCCTCAAAATAATCTTTTAGGAAAGTTTTTTTACAAAAAAAAGCTCGAAAATTTAATCAAAAAAAAAGAAAATATAAAAACACTATTTGAAATGATTAGCAAAAAAAGTTACAATAATCAAAATAATTAGTTTATAATCATTCAAACAAAAATTAACATTTATAATTTTTTAAGTTATAAACTACGTATAATAGTTTATAAATTTTATTATCTCTTTAAAAAATGCAATATCCCATGAATATATTATTATATAAATACGTGTAACAAACTTTTACAAATAAACTTGCTTACAAGGATTATCTTCGTTAACATGTAAAAATTATCTATTCATGTTATGAGTGTGCAATTAGAATCTACATGGGATAGAACCATAGTTATACATGATTATTTCAGGTGCCATTTCTCTAAATAAAAGTGAAATCCAAATCCAAATTGGATGTTCTATAGCAAACTCCGCCAACTCAGCAACTCCGAGATTAAAAAATTAATGATTATTAATCATTAGCGAAGCTTATTTCTTATATTGCCCACCTATTCTATAGAACATCCTACTGATCACGCAGAAATCTATAAGATATGTATCTGTACGCCGACACGTGCATGTACGTACATACGGTGAGAAAATCTAAAAGACTCATTATACCTTTTTTTAGAAACAATGAAGCCGGAAAACAAAACCAAATGCTTTAGTGATAATAAACTTATAATTTTTCGAATACGTACTATCGCTACGTATCAGTTCAATACATTATTAACTTTCTTACCTTTTTAAATATTGGTACACATATTGACATAATATAGGTATCCACATAACTTCAATCATATATGCATCAGCTTATAATCCCCTTGAAGCTAAATGCATCAGTGTTTATTTTCGTGAAATAACGGGTATGGGCGTTATTTAGAAATTCGTGTCCTTTAAAAATATAGATAACGCGCACTTAACATTAAGACTCCAACAAATAATTAGCAGACAGGTTTATGAACATTTGTCTTTGTTTCAAAATAACGCTCAATGCGCGTACTCCAAATAAGCGGATATACTTAAAATATTGTGCAAGTGGGCGTTATTTCACGAAAATATAGTAGTTGAAAGTTGTTATTGATATTTTTGTCTTATCAATTCCAGCATTTGGCTATAGTGCATCCTTTATAATTAAACGTATTACATGATCACAATATAAATTCTTTAACTGGAGTTTTCAGTTCAATTTGTCCGTATTCTGGGTATAACTAAAGTTCTTAGCTATATAACTACTTTTCATATACATTCAAAGCTTTAACTACTTTCACTTTTACATATTAGCATTAAATTATTAATTGCTATTTTACTAAAAGATGAGCGTCTGGGAGATAAGCCTTTATAAAACTCATGACACAGAAATGTTAGAAAATGCATTAGCTAGGGGAAAGATTATAGCTAATACAAATTATAATTCAAATATATTTACTATTTCAAAGGATGAACTTGAAACTCTTCTTAACGATTGGGGGGACAGTTATCCGGAATTAAAGAAGGTCTTATCACGTTGGAAATTTGGAAGCTTCGATGATGATGATGATATTCGTACTAATAAAACTTTTAAATCCGAAATCTTCGAGAGGGGCAAAGATATTTTCTTTATTTTCTTGGGAATTCGTCCAAAATCAAATGGAAATAAGTTACAATGCTTTGAATTGACTGCTAATTGTAAATTCGAAGCGCCCCAACTGCAAAGCGGGTTGGAAGGAATTGGTCTTTATGGAAGAACTGTTTTGGCAATAGGTTCTCTTGGAATGTCAGAATATCTTCGCCAGATTGAAAATTACGTCTACAATAAGATAACAGAAAAGAATATAAATTTAATTCAACGTGCAGATACGCTTGCTGCTATGTATATCTCCAGATGCTGCCCAGAATTAAAAATTAATTGGAAAGAATAGATTTATTTACATAATTTATTTATTTTCTCGATTATTCATTAGCTTTATTGATTACACATTTAAAAAAAAGATTGTAATTTTGACAATTTGTGCAGTACATGTTCACGATGAAGCTTGGGTATTGAAATGTTCCGTTAATTATTTTAGTTGTTAATGTTATCTTATTATTTTCAAAGTTCATTGTTGTTTCTTTCTTTATTGTATCTTTTATTAAACAACCGTAACTGTAACAAACAATTCTGTATAGATATAGGTATAGTGTTAGGAACCGGTTAGAATCTACCGAATTTATAATCGTTTTACAGACTATCGCTATTTGGCTTTTGAATAATATGTGCTGATTAAGATAAAATTAACAGTTAAAAATTAAGTATAAAAATTTGGTTTTCCTTGATGATAACGAAAAGATAACGTTAAAAATAAATATTTGAAGCTCCTTATGAAATTTGTTCTTTTTTTTTTTTTAGCACTATCACTACATTTATTACACGTATATAAGTCATATATTCAGGGAGGCTGTTATTTCTGCTTCTATGATCCTGATTTTTAGATTTGTATTATTAAAAGAAGGATTTGTCAAATAGTGTGAAACGTCAAAATGAAAAATAAGAACATATTGTTTGACACTATTGATCATACAACTTTTTATCCTTACGTTCCTTTGCCCAGCTCTTGGTAAATACAAACCTAACGTCGGATTTAATTATCCAAACAAAAGTTAATGTGTTTATATTCTTTTTATAATATAGCACTGGAACCAATGGGGAACTTAACTATAATAAAGGTGTTGAATATTCATAAGAACAAACTAATTTTTAATAATTATAAATTTCTTTTTAGCAAATTAATATTATTTATTTATTTTGTGATGGGTATGAATGTTTAGCTACATAGCACTTACTTGGTTAACAGCTGGTAAGAAATTTATTATTTTATTGAATTTTGAGTAAATGACTTAATACTATTAATACCTCAAAAATATAACATATATCTTTTAGCAATTAGTTTTCTTGCAATGTGTTGCTATTATTTTTTTTTAATATGAAGACTATATCAACTTTTATAAACTCTTTGAAAAGTAATAGATAATAAAAATTAATAAGCAATATTTTGTTCTAGAGCTTTAACAATTATTAAGTATAATTCCGGGTATTAAAATATAATTTTAGACAAAATTAAAATATGGGGTCTTTGCCTTGAAAATGACCCTACGGGCTATGTAGATTTTATGAATAAAAATTAAAATTTCTAGCTATCCAGTAATCTAATTTAAATAAACTTTTTTTTTATTTCGTAAAGCTTAGTGAGTTCTACTAAATAAAAAAAAAAATGATTTGAATTGGATTATTAGATAGTTAGAAATTTTAATTTTTATTCATAAAATCTACATAGTCCCGTCCCGTAAGGTCATTTTCAAGGCAAAGACCCCATGCAATACAATTTCAAGCAAAATTATAAATTAGGCAAAAAAATTATCTTATAGCTGCAAATAATGACCACCTGCACATTAATTAATTGACCTGCGCATTATTTCGAGTACGTCTATGTGATTTTTTGAATCGTACCCCTTAATCATAATAAAATGGACCGGAACTAAGTTTGGTACTAAGTAAACCTACTTGTCTCAATACGAGAAACAACTTTGTTAAGATTCGAAATTAGGCTTACTTAGTACTAAACCTAGTTTCAGAGCACACGTTTTGTTTACTTTTATTAAGATGCAAGTTAATTTAAAAATGTCCATAGGTGTTAATTCGGACTACATATGCTACTTTAGAGGGTTCTGATTTTTGAAATAACGCCCATAAGTGTTATTCTGCAGCTATATGGTAAAAATAATTCTGGGCAAAATTAAACATGATTTCAAGATAAATTAAGTATAATTCTGGGCAAAATAATAAAATTCCAGGCAAATTAAATATAAATTCAGGCAAAATTATAGCATAAATTCAAGCAAAAATAAATATTACTTTAAGCAAAATTAAGTATAATTCTGGAAATCAAAATAATTAGTTTATAATCATTCAAACAAAAATTAACATTTATAATTTTTTA